GTGTCAGCAAATACTAATTGCATTCAGCATAATTACAGAAGCTAAATGGAATCTCGGGATAAAAACTTGGCACTGGTGAATTTTGGCATAGAAATTCTTGTCCTGATGTGCTTTCACCAGTTCAAGCACATTTTAAACAATAATATTAATTGAAAGAACTACATACAAACTTCATACATTTTAAAATATCACTTAAGTCAATACTTAAAGCCAATACTTAAAATACATGGACTTAAACTAATATTTTTGGGTTTTAGCATTCTGTGTTCCCATGCCTTACTGCTAGCACAGACATTTGTAGGGCATGTAATTTAAAGAATTCAGGAAAATAAGTAATTTTGGAACAAAATATATGGTAGTATTCCATATATATTTGATGAAAACATAATTTTTCCTTAAGATCCAGTCATTTCTACCAAGATAGTTGATCTGCAAAATTCTAATGTTATTTGCTGATCTTTGGGGAATCTTTGACAAGTTGATTGCTTTTATTTTTGTATTTCTCAGTAATGTTACGTGAAGAACAATTTGTATTTACTTCATTTCTCTAAAAACACACAAATTTTATCGTGTTACTATGATTGCCTTTTTGTCAAAGCAATGGCAAAAAATAAGAGAAGGATGACTGTAAATTTCATTTTCCCTTTAAGTTTACTGTTACTCAGTTTTACTCTGCTTATATCCATTGGAGAATATCAGATATTCTTAAACTCACAAAGTTCACCGATTTGACTGAATACAGAAATTGTCTCTAATATTTCAATACACTTAAGTATACCTAACAGCTCAACAGTCAAGAAAAGCAGTCTTCTAGAAATTAATATTGTTTGCCATCTACTACAGAAATCCACAGTGTATCTCTAAGTGTTATCTTCTGTGCTTCAATTTTATGTTCAAATTAGAATTTAATTATTCAGAGGGCTTGCATTCTTCAACTCTATGGCTAAGCTCCCAAGCAACTTCAAGGCTTATTTAAACAAATTGAGCATCTGGTCTTGAGACTGGCTCATAAGATATTCACTATTTTAATTTTGAAATTCGTACGGAGCACACATACCATTCAGAAAGCAGTAAAATTTGCAACTATACACTCATTGTAAACCTGTGGATAAAGAGGAAGAAAGCAAAGGATATAATTTGATTAGCCTTCAACTTTATTAATTTTAACTCATTTGGGAACTATCCTGCAATAATTCTTCCACTGGAGGTCATAACTCTTCTTTAATTGTTTCCACCTGGTACAGTACTGACATCAATCCCAGCTTCTTCTCTACCTCTCCTATACCTGGCTCTCAGCTCATCTCTCCTGTCTTCCCAGACTTTCTTCATACTAGCATTAAGGGGCAAGGCCAAGGAGGTTGATCTTTTCTGTTGTGTTAGAGCACAGAACTCCCAGATACACTTTTTCCATTGCTGGATGCTTTCCCTAAATTCACTCCTTATTTCAGTTTCTACCTTTTGTAAATGAATTCCTGTTCTTCTGCTACAGTCTGATGTGCTGAGCTTTTACTTTTAACCTGCTCTCCCTCTCCCTGACGTCTGCAAAGAAAAGTAGAAAAATAAGAACAATCTCTGACTTATCCAATTTCTTCCCTTACCTGCACCTTCCATGCTCCTCCCCATGCAAAATAAACAAACATAAAAAAAACTCCAACCAAATAAACAAACAAGAGAACAACAGCAACAAAAAAAAACCCCAACAACCTACCAGATAAACCAAAACACCAGAACAAATGTCAAGGCCTTTGACATGGTCCCCCACCACATCCTTCTCTCCAAACTGGAGGGATGTGGATTTGATGGGTGGACCACTCGATGGATAAGAAACTGGTTGAAAGGCCGCAGACAGAGGGTGGTCATCAATGACTTCATGTCCAGGTGGAGGCCGGTAACGAGCGGCGTCCCCCAGGGGTCTGTCTTGGGACCGGTGCTCTTTAACATCTTTATCAATGGCATCGATTACGGAATTGAGTGCACCCTCAGCAAGTTTGCCAACGACACCAAGCTGAGTGGTGTGGTTGACACGGTTGAAGGACGGGATGCCATTCAGGGGGACCTCGAGAGGCTAGAAAGGTGGGCCCGGGTGAACCTGATGAGGTTCAGCATG